AGTCAGAAAGTACATGCAACCCCTGATTATATCATACTCCAAATAAAGAGGGTACTAAGTGAAAATAGATTTAATGGAGTGAAAGAAAGTATCAGCTTCACGGGAGCAAACTAGAGATAATGATCCTACTACATTGTATGTGCCCAGAAGCTTATGGTATATTGGTAAGTTAAAATATCATAGTGAACAAACTAACCTACAGAACCTGAATTCGTTAGGTACCAACAGAAAGGCTTGCGTCTTCAGGCTCTCTTATACAAGCCAGTAGCCATATATCATACACAAGGCACCGCAAGCCAATATCATCATCCAACTAAAAGAACATAGCAATCCTAGCATTAATCATGTGAACCAACCCTAAATCCCACCTTCCCACCTAGGTTACCAGCAAAGTGGCTAGAAATATTTAAACAGGATTTGAAAAACACTAGTACTTCATATATTGAGCATCTACACGAGAGAAAAAATTTTCAGGCAACTAAAGGCCAGTTGTCCAACTGTTGCATACTCCAATTTTTACATTGAATTTAAAAAGGTAACTTAAATTTCAAGCAGAATCATGTATAACCAAGGGAATATGGCGAGTAATAGATTACAAGCTACTTCAGCAAACCTTTTAGTAAACATAAAACGGTACCATCTCTACAAATAACATATGTACGTATGCACCCCAGATCTAAGAAGTACACTGTGTTGTAGGCCAATTATTTAGGAATTGAAATAACCATTTAAACCACTAGCTTGCATTCCAAGATAACTTGGAAGTTGCACCCAATATAACATTATAACTTGGAAGTTGCAGGGAGGAACAATCAAGCAAGTCTTGAAAATAATAAAACAAATACAAAATAAAAGAGAAAAATGGAACACACCCAATCACCATCAGCTCCGGAACTGGGTACCAACACATTGACCTCACTGGATTTAGCAGTTGTTATAGATGCCCCCAGAGCATCTTTGCTCAAATAAAATTGGCAGCCAGCTGTGTTGTCAACTGAAACAGTAGGAGCCGAGCCCTAAAATAGCATACAATGAATGAGTATAACAAAGATCACAAGATCATTTTATATATCATATAAGAAACCAATGAATTGTTATATTTGGGATGATAATGACGCCAAATTCAAATGACGCCAAAATTCAATTTTCATGTCCTAGAATCATATTGCATATAGCTAAGATCATACAGTGGTTTTACATAGCATTATAAATGAAGCCACTGCATAGTATTATGATTGGCAACACTGGAGACATCCACTTAAATCGCTGAAAGTTTTATGAGAAGAATTCTAACCTGGCATTGCACCTCAACACGGTTGCAATTTACAATCTCACAAGCAGCCACAACATCCTTTGTTCACAAGAGAACACACAATTAGCACAGAGACATCAATATGTATTGCTTCATTACTAAACTCACACTAACCGTAAATAGGACTCCCATTTTAGTGCATTTGTCAATGGTAATGTTGTTTACTTTCCCTGCACATTGTGCAAATAATTATAAGTTCACATGTTTTTTGTAGAAGTACCATCCTGGAGAACATACATATGGAATACGGCATAAAGTTTGTAAGGAAGGCAATTTAACGTTTAATATGTTTATACAATTTAAATAAAGTTTTTCACGTGGTTAAATCACCTTGAATTTGCAGAACAGAATCTTTGCACCCAAAAATATACACAGACTGTTTTGAATCACATTCACTAATAACCAAATCTTTCTTCGCAATCTGATTCTCAACAACCCACCTGCCAGGGCAATACAATGAAAAAATAATAATCATTTACTGTTTTTACTCCCTCACATGAAGTATTAAACATAGTAGAATGATCATGTATACTTGCGACCCATTTGGAGCTCGAACTTTGGTGTTCCTACTTTAGCAACAGCAGGTGAACTCATACGACTTTCCTTCTCATGGGTACCAACAACGCCAGTTCTATCGGCACGATTCTTTGTCTTCATATCATCCGTCACCTTTCTCAGACCTAGGGGACACAAAAACCAAATCAGATCTCTCCAACATGTACTGACAATTTAATTAAAAGAATAAAAATTACCTGAAGTCACAGGCTTTCCAGAATTAATCTCTTGGAAAACAGCTGACATCCCTTCTTTGGGGCGAGATGATGAAGCCTGTGAAGTTTCAGAACTAAAGAGGGATGCTGATGGAGGAGGTGGAGGAGCAGGGGCACCTGGGGCAGGAGCTTTTGGTTTCGAAGGAGCAGCAGTTACACCTTTACTGGTTGAACTCCAAACTGGACCCAACGGATAGAAACTCTTAACATAATCTCTTAAACCAGGCAAATACAGTTCCTTGAGAGCTTTGGCCCACTCTAAATGATTTGGGTCTTTGGTTTTATACTCCACAAGAATCTGTATAATTATGAATTACATAGTCAAGACCTAGTCACTGCAAAACTTTACTTTGATGCAATCATTACACGATTGGTGATAATTGATAAGTCTGCAAGAAAAGGACCTGTGCAATTAGAACATGTGATTCTAGGACATGCAGTTCCTTTTGTGTAAATTACCAGATTCTTACAGACATGCACAGTACCTTGTTGCAATAAAATTCAGCCATCTGCCAACTTTCTTCGACATGTGCAATAGGCATGCTCATACCTTGAAAGAGACAAAGCACAAAAGGCATTGTAAACATAAATGAGTTTTCATCTGTTTGTAAAGCAAAATAGCAACCGTCCATTTTCTTACCACATTCTTTCCCTGTATATGCAATCCATGCCAAAGCTGAAAGACTGTCAGCAGCAGTCTTCAAGTGATTAAAAACATCAGACCGCCTCCCTTCTGTCAAAGAATTTGCCTTCGTGATTGCCTCGTTCAGTGGTTTCAGAAACTCAGCCACCTGCATTGTCAGGTTTCTGCACACCAAGGAACAACCCATTTAACATTATATTCATCTTACTAGCAAAGGTATAAGATAGAGTGCAGTTAAAGCAAATAACCTCCCTCATTCCTGCTACCATCGACATTCAAAATATTCATAGCTACACTAGATTCTAAGAAGAAAATTTCGTCGTGCAAAAGTATTTCAAGAAAGAGAAAGCGAAAACACGAGTGCTGTAATACCATATATAATCCTAATACCGGTTTACTTTTTCCTGATTTTCCGCTAACATTTCATTGGTAATTTGCTATGGTAAGGCACCCAAATTTCGATTCAATCTTTCGAAAGCTCGTAATTGTTATTATCATTGGATATGAAAAAATGTACACGCACAAATCGGATCCAAACGCAACAAGACAGCACATTCCTTCCATTGCCCTTTACATAATCAATCACATTATTAACATTTAGCATCAAACACACGGTTCTTAACCTCAATTCCGCAATCTATAAGCTAAAACCTCATCTCATTTTACAGTTATAAATCCGAAATTTCAACACCCAATGAAGCCAAAAAACAAAAAAACCGAAAAGAAAATCCCAAAAGCACAAAGGCATTACGCGCGAGACTGACCTGAGTTTGCTTAACCTGGATAAGCAGGTCCTTCTGAGCAGAAAAAGCTTGCTGGAGAACCTTTGTGATGTCCAACACCTGCCCCCCAATCTTCTCAGCTGCGGCCGAAACCCTACCCAGGTACTGCCCAATCAGATCCTCATAAGCCAAAATCGACGGATCCAGCGGCGCCTCGTCGAAACCCCTGGCCGTCGCCGAACCCCCACCGCCGGACAGCGACAGCGCCTCCAAGCGCAACACAGCCGATTCCAGCCTCTCTATCAGCTTCTCCTCCATAGCCACAAATCTCAATCACTCTCTCTCTTCCACACTATGTGTCTTTCTCTCTCTACGGATAGATTAGATCTGGGTGCGTGTGGCCGCCGTTAATTAGTAGAGAAACGAGATCGTTTGCTGCTTTTTTTCTTTCTTTAATTTTTATATTTTTGGGATTTTTTCGTATTTTCTGACGCCGAAAGGTGAAAGGGGCATTTCGATTTGGCGGGTGTTAGTCTGAGTCTCTGCGCTTTGTTTGGGGCTTCAAGTTTAAGTGAGACGTGGGGACACGTGGCGGGAGTGGAGCGAATCTTGGCTGTTTGTTCGTGCGTTGTTGTGGCCACCTGTCATTATTTAACTCAATTTTTGTGGGACGGTGTAAGGTGGCCCCCACTCCTACACTTATAGCGTGCGACCTAAGTTGGAAACGTTTCCCTGCTGACAATTAATTATTATTTTTTTTACTGAAAGTAACTTCAAAATAAAAAAAATTTCCAGTACATCCAGAGATCCAAAACAATCGAATAAAAAGCCGTTATAAGCTTTCTCCGGTCCCAAAACGCATAAATTTTCTACACCGGTGTATTGTGGTTCATTACCTCTAAGCGGTGGTAGTATTCATTACTTTATTTATTATCGTTGTATATATTTAAATTTTAAAATTTAAATCTATTTAAGACACAGATTTTAAAATTTAAATCATATTGGTGGCTTGGTCGTGGAGCTTAGCAGTTTAGGCCTAACTCTAGTTTTATTGTTACGTTAATCACCATCCGCCGCGTGCAAGATGGATCCGCACGCGATCTATTCCTTGACAGCTTAAGCTTTTCGGGTAAAGATTGGCTAACAGCAAAGTCATGGTACCAATAACAATGCATGGATTTTTACCAACATAGGCACCGCCTTGCAATGTTGGTGACAGCAGACAGCAGACAGCAGCAGGGATCGAGCAACAATATAAGTCACTAGAGTCAATGGTTCAACTTCCAAATTTTGTTTTAAGTCGAAGTAGAAGATGGATTCGTCATGACGGAAACTCATACCTTATAATTCCAGCATGAGTCATTAGTAATCCATCTCTAACTTTCAACTCAAACAAAATTTGGAGACACCAAATGAGGCCTAGGGGGTACGATAGAGTATTTTGGAAACATTTGTACTTCTGAATTCACATGATGATAAATGGAGAGACTCAAAACCCGTTAGTCCGTCCCAAAAACTACTTGACTCAAACTGCATTTGAACTGATAAAGAAATGAAGATTCTTAAGAGACCTTACATATAAAAATACCATACCAGTACTTATATATTTACAAGCTCATCTACAAGTATGATGCTCAACATATCAACACAATCTATCAGATCAAGAAAAAGAATTTAGAAATTTATATATGCACATTCAATACTTGTAATTTCTTTTCTATATATATACTAACGGAAAATCATGTACGCATGGCGCCTCAGGAGTTGCCTATCGGCCTAAAAATTATCATCTCCATCTCGATCTCTCTTCGTTACTGTCCCCCGGCATCCTTGGATGTGTATTGAACAATACTGGAGGCAGCTGCACGGGAAAGGGAGAGGATCTTTTATCGAGGTGATCGATTTTCCTGCAGATCAGAGATTGGCATACTGAGAAAGCTGAAAGTGCAGAAAATGTTAATTGAGGAGATGATGCTCCTGTGGCCTTGATATCGAACAAATAACAAACTGGCAAGAAACTTGTCAAAATTATCAAACATGTTATCTGCAATGCATCTATAAAGTACTGAACACAAAGACTTACTGAACGGAAAGGGAAGTCATCTGCCTCAAGCATATGAACAATTTGCCCCATTTTCGGTCGCTTATGGACATCTAAATCTATGCATCGAAGACAAACCAGCAATGCTCGCTTCATAGCTCTTGGAGGGGGCTGAACTGCAATCAGAGGATCAACAACATCCTCTCCACGGTGACTTTGGATCATTCCTTTAAACCAATCAACCAGGTTCATCTGATATACAGAAACTGTAAACAGTTATGATATTGATGCAATGCTTCTATAGGAAGAACCGAAGAAGAGGAGAATTTAGTTTTACCTCTCCGGCTGGTCTGGAATAGTCAATTGGGCTTCTTCCTGTAATTATCTCCATGAGTAGAACTCCGAAACTATATATGTCACTCCTCTCGTTAAGCATGCCTGTGCTTGCATATTCTGGAGCTACATATCTACAGAAAATTATAATAAAGAATCACACAGTTACACACAGCCTCGACAATGCATCATGGAAGTTATCGACTTATCATTAGGATTTGATAATAAACTAACCCGAATGTCCCCATAACGCGTGTAGTCACATGACTGGCCTCAGATCCTAAGAGCTTGGCCAGACCAAAATCTGATACTTTCGGGTTCCACTTTCTATCCAGAAGAATGTTGCTGGATTTTATATCACGGTGCACCACCTTGGGTTCTAACCCCTCATGCAAATAGGCCAGCCTGCCAGAGAAACAAGAAACATAAGTTTATCTAAAGCGGAAGGATGGTATTTTCATAGCAATACTATGAAATGATGAGGATGACAAACACAGCACAATCTTTTACACATATTTTCGTTGTACGACTGCTAGGTTACTTAACCCTCATGTTAAATTCACTTTTGAATAGAAAGAAAGGAAGAACAAGGAGTAACAAAATTATCTCACCCTTTTGCTGTCCCGATGGCGATTTTCATACGAATGTCCCAGGTCAGAGGGCTGACAGGGCCAACATCGCCATGCAACCATTGCTCCAAGTTGCCATTGTCAATGTATTCATACACAAGCATCCTGTCAGATCAACAGAAGTCCCCACGGACATGTCAGACGAAAAAAGAGGTTCATCTCAGTTTACCTAAAGGATACGAAAATGGAGTTTTACCTTTGAGCACCTTCTGCACAATAACCAATTAGACCCACCAAGTTCTTATGCTTTACTTTCCCAATGGCTTCCACTTCCACCTTAAACTCGTTCTCTGCCTGACCCCTGTGCATCAGATGACAACCAGCAATAAGTTTCGAGTTGATGAAAAAGAAAATAATGTTATACAATAACTAAAAATATAACATTACGTGCACCCAGAACCCACACAAATTTAGTTAACAGAATGTTTAAAATGCATGTTAGCGCGCAATTAGCCTAAATATCATCTCATAACTCTTTTTTTTTTCTTTTTTTTTTTTTTTTTTTTGAAGACCAACACGAAACTTACATATAACAAGGTGTACGCGTACTACTGCACCTAAGTTATAATCCACCACCACCACCACCGCACCTTAATGCCACTTGAGCTTAGAGAATTGAAATTAAAATATATAAAAAAATAGTATTAACCGTTGACCACTAAAAACATTATTGAGTTCACAGCGTGGAAGGCAACTTGGATTGGATCTAAATCCTAATACACAAAACTAACCTAATACGTGTATCATTTTCCTAAACTAATTCCCCATTCATTCAATTTTTTGCACAGAAAATAATTCCATTAAATAAATAAAATGGAAATTTTAAATTTTTTGTAAAATATTTGTTAAATTAAACGTTAGATTAGACATTTACAAAACTTGAATTCACGCTATTATTAAAAGACTCAACTCCGTTCCACGAGATTTTAAATTAAAAGTAATAAATTCACGTACTTGTTGTTCAGAAGGTTCTTGACGGCCACGACGGAGCCGTCCTGCAACGCGCCCCGGTAAACGATGGCGTATCCGCCTTCTCCAATCACGTTCTCTGGAGAAAATCCACGTGTCGCGATCTCCAGCTCCTTCAAGCTATACCACCGGCCCCACCCGATGTTATGCGGGCCCAACCCGTCACTCTCCAGCGCGCTCCGGTTCACTTTCCCTCTTTCGATGTCAATAATCTCCGCCACCTCCTGCGGAGCCTCCTTCAACTTTTCATTTCCCATTTTCCGCTCGCAATTGTCGGCGGCGCGTGGACTTGGGGCCTTGATCTCGGCGATCTCGTTGGAGACGAGGGGGATTGATCCGGAGCTGTGCTTCACGCGCATCTTGCGTTTTCTGGAGACTCGAGTTTTGCAGAGGCAGAGGAAGATGAGAAGGGCAGCGGAGAGGAGGCAGATAACGAGGATGGCGATGACGGCGTAGAGTTTGAGGTTGAATAATGGGGTTTTGGCGGTGAGCTTGTGGGAGAGGGAGTTGTTGGAAGTTTCGGTTGTCTCGCTGGGAACAGCCATTATTTCCGGCAAGTAAGGTTGATGGACAATTTGAGCTGTGAATTTTCTCCGGAGAGAGAGATAAAGGTGGTGGGAGTGTTTGTTGGGTTGATGGGAATTATCTTGAAGTTAAAGTTCAGTCAGCAATTTAGACTGTTGGAGGATTTTGCAGAGAGAGAGAGAGAGAGAGAGAGAGAGAAGAGTGCGGTTTCAACGGAAACAAAAGCGAAAGGCAAAAATTGAAGGGAAGGAAAGAAAATAAAAGAGACAAAAAAAGGGTAAAAAAGACAGAGAGAGGAAGGGGGTGTTGTTAGATTTTTGGGTTTGGTACGTGAGTTTATTACAGAACCACCACTGTAGTGTATGGAACATCCAGCCAAATCACAGTGACCTCTAGCCCGTTTGTTAAGCGGAATATTTCCAACTAGACTAGTTTTAAAAACTAATCTGAATTAATTTGTTATGAACTAAGCAATATAAGAATAATAAAGCATTTGATACGAAATCAAACTAAGGTACAAACTAAAATATTTTTAGCCCTTGTGAATTGTTAATTCCTAAGAAAGAAACATTCATAGTAAGTTTGACAATTTCTTACATAACTCATTAACTCGATTTGAAATGACACAATAATAATAAGTTCTAGGTTCGTTTGTTAACGAGTCAAATATTTATCAAGTCTAAATAATCCGTTTGTTTAACCCAACACGAAACGACATGAACATAACAAATTCCAGGTCAACTCGTTAATGAGTCAGGTCACTATCGGTCATCTGTTACGAACTCGTTAAGACAACAGGTTTGACACTATACAATTATTAAGTAACGAGTATAACACGAAAATGACACAAACATTACTTATTTGTTAATTATTTATTATATAGGATTCCAAAATTGTCCTTATCACCTTTTCTTTTCCATGGTACAATTTTTTCAGATTTATTTATACCAAGCATTTATTTGCTCAAGGTCCATTTAATTTGTATCGACAATTAATGGATGTGTGAATAACATTTTGTTCTTGATATATGATTTTTTTTTTTAACTGTTATTGATGTGTTCAAGAAGGACATCAAAGCACATAAATGTTATATTGACCATTTGTTCTTTAATAAAATTCAATGCCCTATCAATTCCAGATTGGTCTAGTGGAAAGCAAAAAAAGGTTTGGAACTCCCAATTAGAGTTTGAACTCTCACAAATGCTTCTCTTGCAACCACCAACTTTACTTTGGGATACCATTTGCCTCGAGAGCCAAAACTACAATAGCCTTATGTGGTACCAAAATTGCATGAGAAAGACAATTAGTTTGTCATCAATATTTTATGGGATACCTTTTATATTAAGGAAAACTAACGAAAAGTTCATAAAGACTTTATTTTTAATGAAAAATGACAAATAAAAGTGTAGTGAATGGTACCAGGAAAAAGTAAAAATGTGGTTTTTCGTTAAAAGTGAACAGTACCGAGAGTATTTCTTTAAAACTCCCCTTATATTATAATAACTAGATGAAACACACACTCTGTGTGTAAATATAAAAATTTAATAAGAAAATGCTTTTTAGCCAAAATAGTTCATGAGATTTGCATAACTCCTCAATTTGGTCCCTGAGATTTGAAATTGATAGAATTGGTCTCTGAGTTTGTTTACCATCAATCATTTTGGTCATTCCGTGAAAAATCTTCATTAAATAAGGATAAAATGACAAAAATGCCCTCAATTTTTATCAAATCATTTTGGCTTATTGTGTATTAAAGTGAGGGTATTTTTGTTATTTTAATCCTTACTTAACATAATTTTTCACAAATGACCAAAATGATTGATGGTGGACAATCTCAGTACCACTTCTATTGATTTCAAATCTCAGGGACCAAAGTGAGGAGTTATGCAAATCTCATGGACCGTTTTGACTAAAAAGCCATAAGAAAAAAAACTATAATATGAAAAAGAGAGAAGTTAAAAGAAATGTGAGACAGAGAAAAAAAAATGTGGATTTTTTTTTTCAAATTAGAGATATTTGGTGTGTGTGAAATTACATTACAGCTTTTGATTTTACTTTGTGCTAGAAGCCAAATTATTGTTTTACTCCATTTTAATTGACAAAGAGAATTTTGTTCATAGGTAATTTCGATGACCACGATGATGATAATAATAATAATATGTAGACGTCCTATCCATGGAAAACTGCATATAGACAACATATACATGTGTGATGTGTGCTTAGGCCATCTCCAACCGAGGGCTGGTCAGAGAGCTCGTTTTAGCCCTCTAGCCTTCCAAGATATTAATATTTTAATGAATAGTACATGGTCATATTTGTCTACATCTCCCACCGAGGGTCAAAGGGCCATAGGGCTCGTTTTAGCCCCATCACAAAAAACGGTCTTCAACCGAGCGCCAAAGGGCCATAGGCCAAACATAATTTATTATTTAAAAACTAAAACTTAAATTCAAATCCAACGGTTAAGTGACGTCAACTAGTCGTTGGATTTGAACTTTTTTTTTATATAAATAAGGTGGATATTGGGCTATAATTCACACAACTTTGAATTCAATCTATTTTAATTCAATATCTTTCAATTCAATCTTTTTCAATTCAAGTTTGCAATGAATTCCAACTTTGGATCCTTTGCGGATTCCAACTGGGGTCCTCATCCAATTCCAAATTGGAAGCAAAATGGTCACAAATAAGACGAGAAGATGAGGAGTCTGATGAAAAAGTTCAAGTAAGGCGTAACAGACAAAACAGAGCAACAGACATGGCTGCGGCCATGGTGTGTCAGCCAACTGAAGAACAACTTCAATAGGGTGGCTTTGTTGTTGGTTGCTTTTACAAACCACGAAATAGAGCGATGGCGCATGCCAATCTGATGAGCACCTACTTCAACCCCAACTCAGTGTACACAGAAGAGGATTTTAGATGTCGCTTCCGGATGAGGCGTCATGTCTTCGAGCGTTTACTTCGTGATGTCCAACAGGTCAATCCATACCTTCAACAAAAGTAGGACAAAGTAGGCCACCCTGGTTTCTCACCTCATTAGAAGGTTACTGTTGCACTCCGAATGATGACCTATGACTCCCCAGCTAATTCGATGGATGAAACTCATGGCATGTCTGAGTCTACATGCCTTCATACTCTTGAACAATTTTGTGACACAATTGTTCAGGTTTACAAAGACGAGTACCTTCGCGAGCCAAATCAAGAAGATCTGAATTGGCTATTTCACAAAGCTGATGGCAATGAGGCTTTAGCGGAAGGTTGAGAAAGCCAACTGTTATGTTAGAGGCGGTTGCCTCATATAACACATGGATCTGGCATGCTTTCTTTGGAGTCCCTGGATCCCAAAATGACATTACAATTCTTGGGCGTTCACCCTTCTTCAATAACTTGACGAAAGGTAAATCATCTCAACTTAACTACTACATCAACAACCGTCAATACAATATGGGGTATTACTTGGCAGATGGCCTCTATCCAAAGTGGGCAACACTTGTCCAAGAAATTCCGAACCTTAGAAATGACACAGAAAAGTTGTTTACCTTACACCAAGAGGCATACCGGAAAGATGTTGAGAGAACTTTTGGTATTCTACAAGTACGGTGGAAGATCATCAGCGAATTGGCAAGAGGGTGGGGTCAAGAAAATTTGGACTCCATCATGATGTCTTGCATCATATTACACAATATGATAGTGGAGGATGAGCGAGATGTGTATATTGATGAAGAGTTCGATGATGACCAAGAAGATCCAAATAGGTCAAGAAAGGCTCGTGCAAAAATATATGATGGACCTAATTTGCCTTTCAATCCAAGAACTGATAGTACCTCTATAAATGAGTACATGAGGCACTATAGAATGATAAGTTCTCGTGCCACAAATAAGTACCTACAACAGGATCTTGTTGCACATCTTTGGGCCAAAAGAAGCATGAAGTAGACGTTTAAGTTTTATGTTGTTAAATATTTTTAAAAATGTTGTTTAAGTTTAATGTTGTTAAATGTTTTTTTTTTATGTTGTATAATTTGTATGTTGGTTAATGTTATTTAATGTTGTTTCATATTGTTTAATGTTGTTTCATGTTACTTAATTTAATTTAATGTTGTATAATGGCTTAGGAAGTTATAGGAAAAAAATATAATTTAAAAAAAAATATGAAACAAATTTTGTGAAATAGAAGTTATAGGAAAAAAATAGAATTTAAAATAAAATGAAACAAATTTTGTGAAATAGAAGTTATATGAAAAAAATGGAATTTAAAAAAAATATGAAACAAATTTTGTAAAATAAAAGTTATAGGAAAAAAAAATAGAATTTAAAAAAAGAAAAGAAAAATAGAAGTTATAGGAAAAATTTTGTCAATAAAAAATAATAATAAAACTGTTAAAAAAAATAATCAAATGCAATGGCTAGCTGACAGCTAGCCGTTGCATTTGAAATTTAGTTTAAGCATTCTTGTCGGTTATAACCGACATGATTAATGTTTTTTCTGGCCAGTCCCGGGCTGGCTGCATGTAGCTAGCCCTCCAGTCCTTTGACCCTTTCAGATTCCTTGGGGCCTTCTCAGATTCCACCAGCCATCTGGCCTAACTCTTAATTGGAGACGGTTTTCGAGCTATTTTCGGCCCTCTGAACCCTTCGGTTGGAGATGGCTTTAAGGTCTGGTGTAGAACAAAAGAGAAAGTTCTAAAAAGAGTGTTTTATGTTTATTTTAAACGTGTGGAACCTACCATTGAATATAAGTAATAGTTAAGTTCATTTTCTGCTATTCTATTATATATCTATCTATCTATATGTAAAGCCAATGAAAAAGATAAATAGTGATTTTGGTGTCACCAAGCTTAGAAAAAAATATTTGGACAAAAATGCCTTCAAGACAAAAAACTTCATAGGCAGCCCAAAATAATGCATCAAATAAGACAAGGGCATTTTCGTCATTTTAACATTATTTTTTAAATAATTATTTTTTTTGTGTTTTTTAATTAGTAGCTCATAATATGTTAGCAATAATAATTCAATTTCTCTATTTTTAGATACGTTCAAAACATCTTAAGAGACATGTAATGCCGGTTATAAAAAAGGTCATTCGCACTCGGATAATAATGTGATTAAATTAGTTGTCAAATGATTGTTTTTTTTTTTTTTTTTTTTTAAACAACCGATATTATCTACACTAAAAGGGAGGGGAAGTGGGCTTAGCCTCACAATGGGCTAGCAATAATGTGATTCAATCAATTGTTTATTA